CATCTCCCACCCCACTGCCTCAGAAGGTTGCAGGGGAAGGGAACCAAGGGACGAAAGACAGGCTGGGTCATGATAAGCGTTATAACCTGGCTGTACAGCTGGCACACAGTACTTTTCTCCACTTAGGGCAAGTGCTCCTTCTGCTGAGACACGCTTTGCTATCAGTCCTTCTGGAGACTTGTTAACCTTGTTAAGCATTAGTAATTTTATGTAGGTTGTTAGCAGTTTATCTTAGAATTTGGAACAAACCATGGTGAACAAACAGGACACAGTGGTAATAACTGTTCCTGGAATGATTTCTGGCCAGGTGGTGTAGAGCATGTGTACAGGTGCTCAGTGGGGAGTATATAGAGACCTAAGGGCTTACTGGCAACTTTTAGTCATGAGAAGAGAAAGTATCCTGCACAGCCACTTTAGCCTTGCTTCCCCTGATAACCTAAGAACTGACCATCCAAGTTAGGGTAACCATGGCTTGTAAGGTAAGCTATCATTTGTAATGATAGTGTTGTTATAAGCATGACCGTTTCTAAGAACATGAGGAATGCTCTACTGGGTCAGACCAGTGGCTCATCTTGGGCAGACTTGGAGAGTTTCCTTTAAAGAGGGTGGTTTATGCACCAAGGAAGGGTGGAAAGAAGTTGATCACTGATAAAGCAAAGGGCGAGAAGCAGCAAAAGAAAAGCAGAAAGGAATCCATTCCATCTACACGTACAAGGTGCTGAAGCAGATTTGACTTGACTCGAGTATCTGTAAGGCTATGAGTATCATGAATTCTCCTGAACGTGACATGTTTGAGATTTGTGCATCGAGCCAGTAAAACAAGTGCCACTAAAGCCACTAAAGGTGATTTAACAGAAGAAACTGTCTAGAATTTATGCAAATGGAGGGAAACTACTGCAATAAAGAAGCATTAAGACTTACTAGGGGGTGTTTTGAGGAGGAGGATTTGGGGACTGAACAAGAGAATTTGAGGATTTACAGGAATATAATGGGATGTTTAGAATCACAATCACAGAAAGGGAGGGATCAAGGTGGATCAGAGTTGAGCAAGCATCAAACAAGCATTAGAAAATGAAGGGAAGGCACCAACTGGGTTGGTCATATGTAAGCAGCTACTGGTTAGTATGCTTGTCTGGACAAGTTCTGCACATGATCACTACAGTCTGTATTATGTTCTTAATAAACTATTTCTAATTAGTTCCTTTTTGATTGTGCTATTTTGTGTGCATGTG